ACTTAATAAAAAGATTACCCACCCAACTATCAGACCAAAAGTGGACTCTGTTTCCATTACCCACAAATAATTGAGAATTAACCATAAAAATATTGAAAAGATGAGAATTTGATTTACTAACCTTGAGAATATCACCCCAAATTTTTGAATAAGACCCAAAAACTTCTAGAAAAGGGTACCACCTCCCACCATTCGAAGAATACCTACAACAAATTACACGTTTCCATAATGGTGAATCCTCCGCACCATACGACCACCACCATTTAGCCAATAGGCAATCATTCACCTGTTGAACCCTCCTAATACCCAGACCCCCATTGTCTTTGCTTTTAGTTACTTCATCCCAACTAACAAGATGAACCTTCCCCTTCATGTCAGATCTCTCCCCCCCCACAGAAAGTTTTCTCGGATTCTATCAAATGCCTTAGCCACAGAAGAGGGAATCTTGAAAAGAGATAAATAATATGAAGGCAGACTAGACAACACTGACTTAATGAGTGTTAACCTTCCTCCAAAAGATAGAAGCTTCCTCTTCCAAGAAGCAAGTCTAGCTTTGCATTTATCAAGAATAGGCTTCCAAGTCTTCTTAAGCCTAGGGCTTGCCCCTAATGGTAACCCAAGATAGGACAGTGGTAATTTCTGAACCCTACAATATAATCTAGATGCAAACATGTCATGACCCGAACCCGCCCCCATGGGTTAAGGACATAACTGGCCAGTAATCACGAGATTACCTACGGCCTCAAACCAAATAAGACATAACTCATCAGAGTAAAAGGGCCAAACGGAAGCAAATTTAAACTTTGTCCTTAGAGCCGTGCTTATATGGCACGTCATAACAAACCAGATAGAGAGATACAACTCTTCTAAAATGGCTCCACCCCTGTTAAGGAGAGAGGGCCTCTCTTTATATAGAGAACTAGTTAGAAATCAATGCATGATCCTAGTTCATGTTGAGATGACTAATGCAACACATGCAAAATGCGACTAGAAATAGGCTCGGCTATTCTAAGATGGCATATGAAATGCGACTTGATAACATGCTGTTGAACATGTATTCAAGTAATGTATTGAAAGTACAATGCGGTTAGTATGATGCGCCGAGCCTAGTGCATGCAATACAGATGAATGATGCAAACATGCATAGCATAAGGATGCTAACTGAAACATGACCTAAAACTAACCATTGAAAGCGGTTAAGTAAAAATGAGAAAGACGTGGGGTTTGGAAGACATGCACACACGCACGCACACTTGTTACAAAATTCTCTCTCTCGACGAAGGGTCCGAATAAATAATACAAACCAACTAACTAACTAACTAACAAGCTAATTAATTATTACATAACCGAATGAATAACTAGCTACAACTAATTATTACAACGCTTAATTAATTAACTAATTCACAAATTAAAGCTAACTAACAAGTAAGCATTAAAATGAGATTGCTAGGCCGCCTCAGCTTTGCCTTGAAGAAGGAATGATGCATGCTTGGTTGCCGTCCCGAAAAACTCTCTGGTTGCTCTCAAGAGGCTCTGTCTGCAGGGTGTCCTCAAGAACTTCTTGCTGAATCTTACCAAAACCAGTCTGGGGAATACATCAGTGGCCTGCCGGCCATGGGGAGCCACTGCCGACCATCCTGCCGACCAATAGTGGGCACTGCCTGCCAAGAATGAGGGACTGCCGGCCACTGATGTGCTAGGACACCAAGCTGCAGCAGAACACAAAATAGAGAAAAGGGGGAGTCTCCCAAGGGTATGTATGCACTATGCCACCCTATATCACCTCGAAACATTAAGGGAGAGGCATAGTCGGATCCAAGACCATCAATCACGCATCCCGATGCATGATGGCCAAAGACCCAACTTGTGCAAATCAATGAGAAATAAACTGAATGCACAAGTAAACACATAAAGCCTAAAGCTCTATCATGCTTGATCAAGAGCATCGACGACTGAGAATTGAGGCACGTTTCATCACTTCAAGTATGAAACATCACTCGTTTCTCGTGTTCAGATTAACACTTAATTCAAACAACAATGCCATGCAAGGATGGCATACACAATGCGGTGCATGCGAACATGTAATGCAATATGAACAATCCAACAAGGCTAATAATATGCACAATACTAATACATGCAACAACTAAGCATACACAATGTAAAGCAACCTAGACATGCAAACATGCGATAAACCAAGCATGCGACAACGTACAAGGTGACAAGCATGCTACGACATGCAAAGATGGACTTAAACCAAGAGGGGCAGACCTCAACTATGCCCAAATCAGTGGCCATTAGTGTTGAAATGATGGTATGAAATGCATGAAAAGGCAAAACAAACATGCATGCCAATTGGCTCACCAATTAAGGTATAAAGGTGCAACTCTCAAGAACACCTAAGGAGTGACAAGCATGGATGTATGGCAATGAGGTAATCTCTGAAATCATGCAAAGGGGTGATGCCAAACCACCCAAACAAGTCAAACATAGCATGCAAGAAAGCTTAAAGTACGAAGCCAACAAAGAGACTTAAACCATGGCCATGCAAGGCAAGCCCCGAAGGACTAAGGGTACCTAAAACAGTCCCTAGGTAGGTCAAGGTGAGACTAAAAACATGCTTGAACCTAGCCAATACAAGCTAGAACAAAGGTCAAAAACATGGAGCATGCAAGGCTACAAAAGAGGTATTAAATTACACCTATTAAAACCAAACATAGCATGACTTGGACAACATAAAACAGAGTTACATCATGGTATAACAAGACCAAAAATGTACTGATATGATGACCCAAAGGCCTAGGCTTAATGGCATACACAATGATCCATTCATGAGGCATAAAACACAAACTCTTCAAGGCATTTAAAGCATGTCAAATACAGGTGAATGGCCAAATTTCATGGCCTGAAATAACATTCGAAATGATGGCAAAGCATGCAAACATCACATGTATGGCATGGTAGGAGCCTCAAAACCCAAGGCTAGCCAAAGCATTTACACTATAGCTATACAAAACATGAGTGATATGACCATGGAAGCCCAAAACAATCCTAGAATAGCCCAAAATAAGAATAAAATCATGCTGGAGTAAAGCCAAAATATGTTGAAATGATGAGTCAAAACATCATGCACATAAAGCTAGTAAGCAAGATTTGTTTTACAAGTATATGGAGCATGCAAAAGATGACCAAACCAAACTAAAACAGAGGTATGACATGGCAAAACATCACCAAAAATCTACTGAAATGGAAAGAAAACAAGCTAAAATGATATGTCAAAGCATGAAGCATATAAAGCTAGTTTAAGTGATTTACACTACAAGTGTATTAGGCATCCATGGAGTGACAAAACCAACCCAAAAAAGATCTAAGGCATGGTAAAACATCACCAAAAACCTACTGAAATGGAGCTAACACATGCAAGAAAGACATGCTACTTTGATGAGCCACAAATGGGATTACACTACACATACATGAAGAATGCAAGGAGTGACCAAACCAGCTATGGAAAGACTTAAGGCAGGTCCTAAAAGTCACAAAAAAAATCCTGAACCAAGCCTCAAAAGTAAAAGGATACATGCTCCTTTGATAGGCTAAAAATACAAGCAAACAAAAACAAGAAGAAAGGGGGGTCACCCCCTCTGATTTGAGGCCTCAAAACCACATGCCTACCACTGAAAATCCACTCTATTTCAATGTCTAGAAGGCCAAACCAAGACTACCTCGAAGGCCTTAAAGCATGGTACAAAACAAGGCCAAACAAGGCATAGAAGAGGGTTGTACACCCCTAACACCAAAAAGACCTCAAACAATCATCAAAAACACTTAAAAACAAGGCTTTTTTTTCAGTTGAAAGCAAGGCCTAAAACAATATGCAAGGATGGCCTAAATGAGATACAAAAAAATGCTAAAAATGGGGAAATACTCACCCTTGAAGATCAACTTCGAAACCAGCAACCTCAGGGGCCAAAAACCAAGTTTCAGAGCTCAAGTAACACTCCTAAGAACCTCAGTTCAAAGGTGGTGGTGTCTCTCTATGTGTTGTAGTGTAAGAGTGCAAGAAGAATGGACTTTAAGGCACAAAACCAACAACAATATAGAGAGAGAATAAGAAATATAGAGAGAGAGATACAACTCTTCTAAAATGGCTGAACCTCTGTTAAGGAGAGAGGGCCTCTCCTTATATAGAAGAAAAACAATTCAAAGCTTGTTGAACAAGCTTGGCAAGAGCTTCATCCCTCCATACACGTGCATAGAGGGGAAAGGAGTGAAAACCAGCTGGCTCAAAAGATCTGGCGTGAAACCTGTTGAGACAAGGGTTCTGCCGGCCATCAGCAGTGGCCGACAGTGGCTCATTGATGGCTGGAAGGCTTCATCAATGGCCGGCAATAACAAAGGGATGGCCGGCAGGGCCAAAAAGGAACCGGCAGTGCACCAAGAGAATCAAGATGGAAGGGCCAATACATGGTCCAAAAAAAGGGCAGAAAGGATACAGGGTTTGGGAAGCTCAAACCTGTGACGTTCCGCCATGACAGTCGAGTACTCAACGAGCAATCGAACTAGTCGTTAAATGTACCTGCAAGTACAACCAAGTCTTGAGGACGGTCAAAAATAGGGTGTCTACACCTTTATGTATGTTTTGTTTTCTCTATACAAATTATTTACAGTTCTCTCTCTTCTTTCTTTTGCTTCTGGGTTTTCTTTTGTTTCTTTACTTTTCGTTGCTCATATTCCCCCCCCCCCCCAACCCTCTTTTTTTTTTCTTTTTTTTTTGTGCTTTGTTTTGTGTTTTCTAGCAAATCCAACGGCGTTTGAATTGAGGGAGTTCATTTTCCTTTTGTAACTTTGAATTCTCCCTAATTTCACCTAACAAAATTAGTATTTTTTAACTTCTTATTCTAGCCTTTTATTTTCTTTTCATTTTTTGCATTCTCCCTTATTATTTTTTCCCTTTTGTTTTGTGTTTTCCAACAAATCTGATGGCACTTGAATTGAGGGAGTTGATCTGCATTGTGTAACTTTGAATTTCCCCTAATTTCACCTAAAAAATTTAGGGTTTTTTCCTTCCTACGAGTAATGTGATGGTTATGCTTTGTCTTCATCTTTCTTCAATCAGTGTTTGCTAAACAAAATTACAATTTTTGCCTTCTTTTTAGGTAGGGATTTTGATTTTGATTTTTTCTTTGTTAACAATATATATATATATATATATATATATATACATATATATATATATTACTTGCTTCTTTATTTAGAATGGTTGTGTGCTGCTTGTGCTTTGTCTTCATCTCCTTTTCGTTCAGGTAACGAATTGTGTTATTATTTTTCTTCAAAAGTTCCTTTGATGTTTTTCCTTTATTTTTTTGTCTTCTAAAACTTTTACTTGACAAGGATTTTTTTTTCTTCATTCAGTTATGTTCTTGGTTTATGGAAGTCTTCAATTTTGTATAATCTGTATGTTACTTGTTTCTCATTTCCTTTATTTTTTCAACCAAATTAATCTTGTGCAAAACTTCTTTCTGGTATGCAGAAGTCAATTCAGCGATTGATGGCAATTCTAAAGATGAAACTTGGCAAAGAAAATCCTTGCAAGCATCATGTATGGTGAGTTTAATGGAAATCTGCCTATGTAACTATGGTAGCATTTTTTTTTTTTTTAGGATATATATTTTTAGAAGTACTATTGAAATTTTCATGAGTTGTGTGAATATCTTGCTTTTTGGGGTTTTGACTTGAAATCCTTTGTTCAAATGATTTGGTGGTACTTTTGTATATCTTACAAAATTTATACATTGATTTTTAAAATTTTAAACTAATATGCTGATATACTTGTGTAATTAGTTGTTATCGGTTATGAGTCACCAAGTGTTAGTGAAACTGTAGATATAGCTCTTCTTGTATTTGAAAGTTTGGTTCCATAGCAGAGTGTTTTGTTTGCACATTCAAGTTTTATATTAATTCATAGTATTCTTTGTTTTTTCCTTTCTATTGTAGGAATTCTTTGTCATTTTGGTTCGTTCTTTTGGGAAGGAGGTCAATACGCAGGGGCGATCTTCTTGGTTTTACTAAGGAAAGATATGGATGAACAGTTGCAATGCTAGAAATTCTTATTTTGGTTCCTTTCAGTCTAGTTAGGGTTTTAAATAAAAGTTAGAATTTTAAGTTGATTTGATTCTATTATCTGCTAGGGTTTAATTGTTTTTGTTATCGTTTGGTGGTTGTTTATTGTGTCAATAATTTCTATGTGGGTGTTTTTCCTTTTGTGTCAAAAATGATTTCATTTATTCTTATTTTTGTTATTTTCTTCCTCAAAAAAACCTTTCTTGCTTTTTGTTAGATTGTTCCATTACTTGTGGAGGTTGAATAATGGATGAATTACACTAACTGTCACTATAGTTTGGAGCTTGTATAGTTCCTAACTTTTCAATTGTAACACATTTGACTCTTAATTTGGAATCTTGTTTCAAAAAAGGACAATTGAAAATCTATTGCTCAATTTCAAGGGCAAAGTGGTCAATTTGATAAAATATAAACTAGTTTGACAAAAATAAATATTAAAAAATTATTTTTAAGTTTTTAAAAATTATTTATATCCACCAAAGATAAAATTATATGAAATTGATAAATCTTTTACATATTTAGTTATTTATTTTTAACAAATTAATTTTTAATATATGTTTGAATGATGATCATGTAATAGGTGGTTGTTTTTATTTTCATTAAATTAGTTTCAATTTTTTTTTAAAGTTAAATATAGCGACAACTTTGATATCATTATAAAATCAATCCATTAAATCAAAAAAATTCAAAATTAAAAACATTTCATATGTCCAATATATCGATTACACATTAAAAGCCTAATAGCCATCCATTACATGATAATCATCCAAAAATATTTGTTAATAACAAATACAACCATCTATTATATGATAATCATAAAAAATCATAAAAAAATAACCAACCATTACATGATCATCATCCAAACACATAATAAAAATTAATTTGGTAAAAATAAATAAATAAATGTGTAAAAGATTTATCAATTTTACATAATTAACTTTGGTGGGTAGAAATAATTTTTAAAAATTCAAAAAAAAAAATTTAATATTTATTTTTGTCAAATTAGTTTATATTTTATCAAATTGACCACTTTCCCCTTGAAATTGAGTAATGATATCTTCAATTTTTCTTATTTGGAACAAGATTCAAAATTCAGGATGAAATGTGTTACAATTAAAAAGTTAAGGACCAAAGTGACACGAACCCTAAACTATAAGGATTGTTAGTGTAATTTGCCCTTGAATAATTGATAAGAGAGTTTTTCAGTTAATATACAAGGACTTTCTGGCTCTGTTATGATAAAGCATAGTCTCATGAAATATAATTACTTACTATAGTTAAATTGGACTTTGACAATGAGGCATGTTGAATCGCTACATTTTGTCGGAGCCATTCATTTATCTTTTCAAAATCATGGTCAGGCTCAATTGTAAAATTTCTAGAATTCTCAATGTGATGTTGTCATTCTGATTCTATCTTATGCAAGAAGTTGTCATTGCTTCATGGGATTTTATAAGATTTATCTTTTGTCAAAAATTGTTTTGTTAATTTCTCCACCAAATTGTGGTGTTGCTTTTGTCAAGAATTGGTAGTTTTATCCTTCAAAAACTCTATTTATGCATAAAATTTAAACAAAAAGCTTCACAAGAATGATGTGACAATATCATTCTTATAAATAATTTCATCTTCATGTTGCTGTTTTGGCCGGTTGTATGTTTTGGCTTGCTGTTGTATGATGATGTTCTGGTCTAAGCAGCTACTATGAGGTTGCCGCTGGTGAAAATGTTGATTGTTTGTTTTTGCTGTGTTGTTGTCCTGTTTTTTCTGCTTTTGGTTGCTTTGATTGGCTTCTCACCAATCTTGGGTCAAGTGCTAGCAAATGATTGTGCTTCTTTTGCAGTACCAACCTAATTGGGATTGTGGAAGTTAGCTATGATGCTTAGTGCACTTTCTTGATTTGTTGATGTAATTTTGCATGTACTTTACTTCTTCATCGATAAATCTTTTATTTTGCTGATCAAAAAATAGTGAAAGGTCCACATTTTGTTATATCTTATGTATGATTTGATTTTTTTTTTTTTTTTATCAGTACTCTTTATCCTTTTTAGTTTTGTTCATTTTTTCATTTTCCTTGCTCTATCAGGATTGATTTTCTTTTTGTGAATTTTTTTCATTTTTTCAAAGAATTTTTTAATTTCCTGGCCGTTCTTTCTTTTTTGGAATACCTATTGGAATTAAGTTTCCCCAAGCTTTGTGTTGAGGAATATAGTTCAGCTAGCTCAGGTTCAAGTAGTGAAACCAGCTTAGGTGGCTCCGGCTCAGATTGCAGTTCAAGAAGTTCACCAACTTAGGAGTTAGTTACATAGTTGAGAAGACAGTTAGTTTGTTAGAAGATATTTTGTTCTAGATGATTAGTTAAGCTCCTCATTACTTTGTATATAAATATAGCTAATGTATTCTCTAATGGTATGTTGAATAAGAAGAGTATATTGTTTTCAATTTTTCTTCATGGTATCAAAGCTCCAAAGCTCCAACGAGTAGCTAATCCATGGCATCACCATTATCATCTTTGCTTCCTTTAAATCTCACTCTGTAATTTCTAATCTTTCATCCTTTGTTACTGTCAAACTTGATGGTTCCAATTTCCTTGTTTGGAAGACTCAGCTCTCGAATATTCTTTGAGCAACAAATCTGCTTGGTTATGTTGATGGATCAATTCCCTGTCCATCCTCTACAATCACAAATCCAAAAGGAGCTTCCGTTCCAAATTCAAAATTTCTCCAATGGACTTTGATTGATGCACACTTGTTCAGTTGCATCACTACAACACTTACACCTTCAATCTATGCATCTGTACTTCAGTTTCATCATTGTTCTGAGGTCTAGAGCTCTCTCCACAAGAGGTATACAACTTTGTCTCGATCTCATATTCATCAATTGAAGAACAAATTAAACAATGTTGCTGAGAAAACTGAGTCAATGGAAGAATATCTCTCCAAAATTAAGGAACTCGTCATTCAGTTAGCCCTAGCATCTATTAAAATTGAAGAAGAAGATCTAGTCTTAGTGACTCTAAATGGCCTTCCTTTTGAGTTTGATTCATTTGCTACTGCAATTCGTGCTAGACCGGACATCATCACTATGGATGATCTTTGTGCTTTACTGTGTTCTGAAGCAATTCATTTAGAATCCAAGATAAAAAAAAGTCCACAGAATCAACTGTAGCTTTCTGTATAGTCAAAGGATCTCCAAATTCTTTTCACACTTTTTCTTCAAGATCTCAAAATTTTGGCTCCAATCGAGGTCAATCTTATTCCAGAGGAGGAAGACGAGAACGAAATAGAGGCTATGGTTGGTTTACTCCATCTCGAGGTCAAGGAAGGTTCTCAAATCAGATTTTCCAAATCTATGGAGGCTCAAGTCATTCTACACTGGAGTGTTGGTGTTGCATGGATCCACAATATCAGGTTTCAAATCAAAATTTCCAAAATCACAATCAACAACAGCAACCATGAGCTTTTGTTACTTCTTCAGCAACCTCCATGTCTCCTTCTTCAATAGGTTCTTCCTCAGTTCAAAGTCCTTGGTACTTGGATTCTGCAACATCGAATCACGTAACTAATGATCTCAGTCATCTAAATTGCTATTAGCCTTATCAAGGCTCAGACTAGATTACTATAGGAGATGGAAACTCCATTCCTATCTAGCACACTGGTAAAGGCCTTCTTCCTACTCCACATCACCTATTTAAATTGAATAATGTGCTACATACAGATTCTATCTCTTCTAATCTTGTCTCTGTTCAGAAATTGGCTCAAGATAACAATTGTATTATCAGTTTTGATGATACTCAATTTGTCATTCAGGACAAGCTTACGAAGAAAATTCTTCACAGAGGATCTAATCTTCATGGCTTGTATCACTTTCTTCCATCCGCTTCACTACCTGTTCATGCTCCTTTAGCAGCTCCCACAAGTTTTGCTTCTTAAAAGCTGTCTAGTTCTGCTTCTAATTCTGCTTATGATTCTAATACTGTTTGGCATAATAGGCTAGGGCACCCTAGTGCTTTGAGGTTTAAGCATCTTAGATCACACAAGCATCTTAAAGCCTCCACTTCTGTAACATCTCCAGCTTGTGTGGACTGTTGTATTGCCAAAAGTCATAGATTACCTTTTCAATTGTCTAATTCCATTGTAAATAAGCCCCTTTTAATTCACAGTGATGTTTGGAGGCCTTTTTCATCCACTTCTAGTTATAAATACTATGTTCTCTTTGTGGATGAATTTAGTAGGTTTACCTGGTTGTATCCATTGGTTTATAAGTGTGAAGTTTATGCCAAGTTTCTTGAATTCGAAGCTTATGTAGAAAAACAATTTGATACTCAACTTAAGATCCTTAGAACAGATGGTGGTACTGAATTCTTTAATAACAAAATGAAGGATCTCACTGTGTTACAAGGAATTGTTCATCAACATTCTTGTCCTTATACACCATCTCAAAATGGTGTAGCCGAACGAAAACACAGATATCTCATTGAAATTGCTATTGCTTTACTTCATTATTCTTCTATTCCTATGCATTATTGGTTTGACGTTATTGCTTGTGCCACTTACCTCATTAGTAGGCTGCCTTCCTCTAAATTGGCTTATAAGACACCTTTTGAAACTTTATTTCATAAACTTCCAGATTTTTCTCTTCTCAAAGTTTTTCGTTGCCAATGCTTTCCTTGGCTTAAGCCTTATCATCCTGCCAAACTGCAACCTAAATAGTTGAGTGTGTTTTCTTAGGCTATCATGCTTTTGCAAAAGGATATAGGTGTCTTGATATCAAAACTGGAACTATTTATCTTTCTCGTCATGTAGGGTTTAATGAACATGTGTTTCTTTTTGCACATCAAGCTTCTTTCTCCTCCTTCTCTTCGTCATCACAGCTCCATTTCCTTCAATCCTTGTTTTGGTCTTCTACTTCTTCTTTTCCACCTTTATAGTCTTCATCTCTACCCACTGCCTCTATATCACCATCATCTAATTCTTCTTCTCTTCCCAATTCTGCTGGTTTACCTCTCAGTACCTCTTCAACTCAGTCTTCTCTTCCACTTATTTCTCTTCCCCTTCATTCTCCTATTCCTATTAACTCCATTTCTATTCAATTGCCTCTGCCTTCTACTTTTGTTTCACTTCCTTCAGTGCCTCCTCCTTCTAATTGTCATCCTATGCTTACTAGGTCTAAGCAGCTCTCCTCACTCTTAAACTTGTCTCTCTTTCTTTTCATGATGTTGAACCTCCCTCTCACAAGGAGGCCTTGGTTATCCCCATTTGGAAACAGGCTATGTTGGAAGAATTTCAGGCTCTTCAAGCCCAGAAAACTTGGTTCCTTGTTTCTCTTCCTCCTAGGAAGCAGGCCATAGGTTGTAAATGGGTGTTTAAGGT